CAACACAGATGTACAGCAGTTCTCAGAAACAGTGCGACTACAACCAAATATTCATGAAGTCATTCAAAGGAAAGCAAAATCTTCAAACATTTGTCAGTTTATATAGTGAATGTTTGAGTTTGTAAAGAAGAATACAAACACTGCTATTTTTTTGAACAGTCTAATATTCACTTTTCTTCAATTTTTTAGAGGAACAACACAAATTTGATCTTTTTTTCTTCATGTTTTGATTTGGAATAGAATGTGTCGTGTTCCCAATGCGTTTGTGTGGATGGAAATAAAAGCTATTAGAAGGATTTTCAGCTTTATTCACTTTTTTCAACACACTGCTATTATTTTGAACACAACTGTGTGTATTTTCTAATGGCACCCAAATATGCGGCCACCCAATGTCAAGGCCCAGACGCCAAGAGGCCGCATATTTGCGTACGCTCACCATCTAGGGGTTAAGAATGGCCTTCAGGAGAGGGGTAGTAAAATCACAGCTCAACCGCCAATTTTTACCGCTTCTTTGCCGCAAGTGCGAACGAGCCCCAGGAGTCACATACAATAAAAAAAAAAAAGTTTGCTATTTTTTTAACTCTTGATAATTGCATTTAATTGCACTTGATTGGTCCTACATTCTCCATACTTCTTACATGGCTATGAGCCCCTATCCCAAGACCTGTACACGGAATGTTTTGCTAACTCTCCTAGACTCCTTTTTTCCTGGAAGTGGTGTTTTTAGCAAAAAAAGATTGATGCTTGTAAACGTATGTAGCGCGTTTAGCGCACACATCAAGTGCTTGGGTGTTAATTTATTTATTTGGCCATTGAAATGAATTAGTGCTCAGGTGCTAAATGCGTCTGGCATTGACAAACTTTTTTTTTTTCAAAATGGCGCTATTCCTGGAAGCATTGGCAGTGGGGGGGGGGGGGGGGGGGGGTCTGCCTCTAAATGCCTATGTGTGCATGGACACATAGACTACCATGCAGGGCCATTTAGAGACCGAAAATCGAAAACGCCCCTAAGAACAGCGTCAAAAACGGTTTGTGTGCACGGGGCCTAGATCATCCATTCCACGTATATGTAACCTGGCAGGCTCTCTATAGGTTGTTGGCTGGTTGTACAGTCAGATTGTAAAGTGTGTGGTGGTTTTTACACAGCCGAATGATTCTAGGTGGCAGCTCACTCCCGGCCAAGTCTCCCTGTGCCCTCTGCCTTCTCAGCCCGGGCCAGATGGGACCTTTTGGGTTGAGCTGTTGCTGTGTCCGAGCACAAGACACTTTCAGACAGGGCTGGCAAAATGTCAAGTGGGAGGTTGGCAGCGATTTCCAGTGCCAGTCACCCCGCCGGCAACGCACAGCTGCCTATACATCCACACAGCCGTCCATCACCGAGTGAAGTCAACCGTTCATCTCTAATACACTCCGAAATCCACATCAGAATGTGTCAGTCCTATCAGCAGAGCAAGATGAACTGACACAAGCCGGATATAATGTGGCCCCGGGGGCCCCTGCCCTGCGCTCCGAGGCGTTTACACCCCGTGCCCGCACTTTTCACCCCTTTCTTCATTGTGCTTCATCTGTTTAGCTATATTTCATATAATACAGAATCTGAATCACTCTGCTGTCCACTTTTATAGATTTATCCAGCAGCTAAAATCCATAAAATGCATAAAGTGACCGTAATTCATATTAAAAAAACTGCAGCACTTATAGCATCATACTCCATATATACGATAGATAGATAGATAGATAGATAGATAGATAGATAGATAGATAGATAGATAGATAGATAGATAGATAGATAGATAGATAGATAGATAGATAGATAGATAGATAGATAGATACGACGACGGACGGACGGACGGACGGACGGACGGATAGGACGGACGGACGGACGGACGGACGGACGGACGGACGGACGGACAGACAGACAGACAGGATATAGATAGATAGATAGAGAGAGAGAGAGAGAGAGAGAGAGGAGATAGATAGATAGATAATAATAGATAGATAGATAGATATAGATAGATAGATAGATAGATAGATAGATAGATAGATAGATAGAGATAGATAGATAGATAGATAGATAGATAGATAGATAGATAGATAGATAGATAGATAGATAGATAGATAGATAGATACGATAGATAGATAGATAGATAGATAGATAGATAGATATGAGATAGATAGATAGATAGATAGATAGATAGATAGATAGATAGATAGATAGATAGATAGATAAATAGATAGATAGATGACTCTTTCTGCATGCGCAGCAAATGGCCAGCAATCAGTACCTGAAAGTCAGTCCAGGCGTTCATGATAGCAGCCGGCAGGGAGCTCCAGGAGACTGCAGTGCTGGATAGAAGCGCTGGATAGCAGAGCTAGGTCTGGGAAAGGGAAAAGCAGCACAAGGAGCCAATCAGTTGTGTTACAGTGCTAATGTCCTGGGACACTCTGGTGGGAGGAGAGAACAGAGTGACAGTCTGTACTCTTCCATTACTGTCTAATTATTATTATTATTATTATTATACAGGATTTCTATAGTGCCAACAATTTGCTCAGCTCTTTACAATATAAAGGGAGACAATACAGCAACTATACGGATCAATACAAGAGGGATAGGAGGGCCCTGATCCTTGGAGCTTACAATCTAAGAGGGAGGGGATCACAGTTTGGTAGACAGAAATAGATAGACAGATAGATAGATAGATAGATAGATAATAGATAGATAGATAGATAGACAGATAGATAGATGGATGGATGGATGGATGGATGGATAGATAGATAGATAGATAGATAGGAGATAGATAGATGGATGGATGGATGGATGGATGAACGGACGGACGGACAGATAGATAGATAGATAGATAGATAGATAATAGATAGATAGATAGATAGATAGATAGATAGACAGATAGATAGATAGATAGATAGATGGATGGATGGATGGATGGATAGATAGATAGATAGATAGATAGATAGATAGATAGATAGATAGATAGATAGATAGATAGATAGATAGATAGATAGACAGACAGATAGATAGATAGATAGATGGATGGATGGATGATAGATAGATAGATAGATAGATAGATAGATAGATAGATAGATAGATAATAGATAGATATGTAGATAGATAGATAACTCTTTCTGCATGCGCAGCAAATGGCCAGCAATCAGTACCTGAAAGTCAGTCCAGGCGTTCATGATAGCAGCTGGCGGGGAGTTCCAGGAGACTGCAGTGCTGGATAGAAGCGCTGGATAGCAGAGCTAGGTCTGGGAAAGGGAAAAGCAGCAGAAGGAGCCAATCAGTTGTGCTGCAGTGCTAATGTCCTGGGACACTCTGGTGGGAGGAGAGAACAGAGTGATGGTCTGTACTCTTCCATTACTGTCTAATTATTATTATTATTATACATGATTTCTATAGCGCCAACAGTTTGCTCAGCGCTTTACAATATAAAGGGAGACAATACAGATTCAATACAAGAGGGTTAGGAGGGCCCTGATCCTTGGAGCTTACAATCTAAGAGGGAGGGGATCACAGTTTGGGGAGGAATGAACAGTGTTGATTAACTGCAGCAGAGAGAAATCAGGCCCCCCGTGCTGTATAGCAGAGCTGTATACATCTCAGGACTGGATGGGCAGAAATACAAATCCTTTGGTAGGTAAAACAACCCTGATTTGTCCTTCTTTTGTGTATGTAGCTGTTTGCTCGGAGTTCAGCTTTAAATCCCACCTTTATTTCACCTTCATCCTCAATGCAATTTGCAAACATTTCCACTAGCTGTCCCAATTTTCCTGTACAATTTTGTGAAAATGAGAAGTCGCGGTTTGGCTCATCCCTGGCCGTGGTTATATAGAGTACAGTATATCATAGGGAGGCAAAACACAGCAGCTACTTCTTGGCTTTGAATGGGTTAACCCATCAGAAGAATGATTGCAGGTCCAGCAGGTACAATAGCCGGGACTGAATGAACTCCTCCTGCAGCAGAAATATATATATTATTTTTTACTGAAAAATGCAGTTTTGATATATATTTGTAGGAGAGCCATGGGACGTATAAAATCAATAATGCTTTCTTTTGATTCTGTAGATTCTTTTCTTGCAGAAAATATATAGTTCAGGAGGCTTTGGTGAGCCTGTGCCATGCATTTGGTACATGATTAAAAAAAAAAAAGGCTTCCTTGAAGGGGAGCAAACTGGGAGCTAACACTTAGCAACACAAGAGTTAAAGGATCCGTCCCCTCAAAACTGATGTTTTAGGGTCTCTTCTATCACTCAGGGACTCTATTGGTGGGATCTTTCCCCCAAGTTTCTGGATCTGTACATCTGCTGTACACATTGTGAGGAGTTTCCAGTATCACTGTGCCGAGTTCCCTGGTCTGTACACCTGCAGTGACCATTATGAGGGGTTCCCACCACACCTGTGCTGAGTTCCCGGGTCTGTACACCAGCTGTGCCCATTATGAGGGTTCCCACCATCCCTGTGCCGAGTTCCTGGGTCTTTACGCCTTCTGTGCCCATTATGAGGGTTCCCACCATCCCTGTGCCGAGTTCCTGGGTCTTTACGCCTTCTGTGCCCATTATGAGGGGTTCCCACTATCCCTGTGCTGAGTTCCTGGGTCTGTACACCCGCTGTGCCCATTATGAGGGCTCTCACTATCCCTGTGCTGAGTTCCCTGGTCTGTACACTTGCTGTGCCCATTATGAGGGGTTCCCACTATCCCTGTGCTGAGTTCCTCGGTCTGTACACCTGCTGTGCCCATTATGAGGGGTTCCCACCATCCCTGTGCCGAGTTCCTGGGTCTTTACACCTTCTGTGCCCATTATGAGGGGTTCCCACTATCCCTGTGCTGAGTTCCTGGGTCTGTACACCCGCTGTGCCCATTATGAGGGCTCTCACTATCCCTGTGCTGAGTTCCCTGGTCTGTACACTTGCTGTGCTCATTATGAGGGGTTCCCACTATCCCTGTGCCGAGTTCCTGGGTCTGTACACCCACTGTGCCCATTATGAGGGGTTCCCACCATCCCTGTGCTGAGTTCCATGGTCTGTACACCCGCTGTGCCCATTATGAGGGGTTCCCACTATCCCTGTGCTGAGTTCCTGGGTCTGTACACCTGCTGTGCCCATTATGAGGGGTTCCCACCATCCCTGTGCAGAGTTCCTTGGTCTGTACACCCGCTGTGCCCATTATGGGGGCTCCCACCATCCCTGTGCTGAGTTCCCGGGTCTGTACACCTGCTGTGCCCATTATGAAGGCTCCCACCATCTCTGCAATGACTGTCCAGGTCTGTACACCTGCTGTGCTAAATGTGAGAGGTTCCCACCATCCCTAATATGAGTTTCCGGGTCTGTACACCTGCTGTGCCCATTATGAGGGGTTCTGATCATCTCTGTGTTGAGTTCCCGGGTCTGTACACCTGCTGTGCCCATTATTATTACTGTTATATTATTATAATACAGAATTTAGATAGCGCCAACAGTTTTCACTGCTCTTTACACTACAAAGGGGGACAGTACAATTACAATACAGTTTAATACAGAAGGAATAGGAGAGCCCTGCTCATGGAGCTTACAATCTAAAGGTAGGTGGGGTTCCCACCATTCTGTGCTGAGTTCCTGGTTTTGTACACCTGCTGTACATTTCATACACCAGTCCTGAGTCTGTACATCTGTTTTTGGCTTTATGAGGGGTTCTCACCATTCCTGCGATGAGTTTCCAGATCTGTACACTTGCTGTGCCCATTATGAGGGGTTCCCACCATCCCTGTGCCAAGTGATCTGGTCTGTACACCTACTAATCCCATTGTGAGGAATTCCCACCACCATCCCTATGCTGGGTTCCCAAGTCTATACAACTGTAATGCCCTTTATGAGGGGTTTTCTCCATCCAATTGCTGAGTTCCTGAATCTGAACATCTGCTGTGCCCATTATAAGAGGCTCCAAGCATACCTGCATGATTTATATATTTTATACAATGGAGGAAGAAGGTACCAGGAAGGATTTATAGGTGTTCAGCTATATCAATGGAACCAAGGGTGTAGATAAGGGGGGGGATATGGGGGTCCAAATTGTCCTAGAGCATCCTGGCTGGCAGCCGTTTTAAGGAGCTAGAGCTGCATTCTTCTACATTCCCTGGGCGCTGACAAGACCGTGCAGCAGAGACTAGACAGTAGAACTTTATTGGACTGCATTGGCAGCCTGGATTTTGGCCATGCCTGCCATCATGAAGAAAGCACCAGTGGACAGCGCAGGATGCTGAAGGTGATCAGAGAGACTCATGTCAGGCAGTGTCAGGGAATAAAACAAAGAAATCCTGACAAATGCACCAATGCCCAATATGGCCAGTCTAATTTGCATAAAAATGTGCGCATGTGCATAGGTGCATGGCACAAAGTCGGGCATCCATGTGTGTGACGGCGCATCGGCACACGCAAGGCGCAACAGTTGCTGGCGGCCAGTGGCCTTTTTTGTTTTCACTGTGATGAGAGGGCTCCCCTTACGGCTAAGTGCAAAATACCCCTGAAGGTGCAGTGCCCAAAGAAGCACGGGTTGCCAATGATATAGTTGCCTGGTGATACCCGATAAGATGACACCCATGGGTGGAGAGACTATAGGAGCAGGCTCTCTAGAAGACTGGTGGATCTAGACAGATGGACGGAGCAGGAAGTGAAGTCAGAAGCCAGAGTCAAGGTCAAACACAGAGCATCAATCAGAAGTGAAGACAGGAGCGTAGTCAGGAGCAGGCCATGCACAAGTTGCCAATCAGGTATAGGAATTTTTAACTAAAAATGTTTTTTTTTGTCATGACTTATTGTCATAATAAAGTACATATGATTTTACTACTATGTGTTTATGTATTCTGTGCCTTTAAAGTCCATTTTCTCCCTTTGTTTATTTCCTTTTCCCCCTTTTTGAGTTTAGTGAACTAGGACGTGCAGGGGCGGACTGACCATTTGGAAACTCGGGCACTGCCTGAGGGCCCGGAGTCAGTAGGGGGCCCCATGAGATGCCCCTGGTTCCTTTTTCATAGGCTTTTTTGAGTTTGGGCAAGGACACAGGGGCCCCATGATCCCCTATTGCCTGGGGGCCCCATGAGTTGCCAGTCCGTCCCTGAGGACATGGCACTAGTGTATAAAAAATTGGAAGTGAGCTGAGACCCGAGTGCACTCCATATTTTCTTTTTTGTTTAGTCCAATTACTATGAAAGTTCGTCCATCAACGGATCAAAGGTTGTGCAGCTCTTACACCAGGCTGGGGAAGCCCGAAATAAACTTCAATGAAAAACAAAAACAAAAGCGCAATAACCTTGCGCATTGCCTCAGTAAAAAAGAGTGTTTTTTTGAATTAAGAGCTCAGAGCTCTGAGGAAGAAGGGATCGCCCTTCGAAACACGTCAGCTTTACCCTGAGAGTCTCCCCTCTCGATGGGATTCGCACGTGTCTCCTACTCCAGTGTTCCGATTTTGGATTTGAAATGCCTTATAAATAGTCCAATTACTATGAACGTTCGTCCATCAACAGATCAAAGGTTGTGCAGCTCTTACACCAGGCTGGGGAAGCCCGAAATAAACTTCAATGAAGAAAAAGAACAAAAGCGCAATAACCTTTGTGCATCGCCTCAGTAAAAAAGAGTGGTTTTATTGAATTAAGAGCTCTGAGGAAGAAGGGATCGCCCTTCGAAACACGTCAGCTTCACCCTGAGAGTCTCCCCTCTCGATGGGATTCGCACGTGTCTCCTACTCCAGTGTTCCGATTTTGGATTTGAAATGCCTTATAAATAGTCCAATTACTATGAAAGTTCGTCCATCAACGGATCAAAGGTTGGGCAGCTCTTACACCAGGCTGGGGAACCCGAAATAAACTTCAATGAAGAACAAAAACAAAGCGCAATAACCTTTGCGCATCACCTCAGTAAAAAAGAGTGGTTTTATTGAATTAAGAGCTCAGAGCTCTGAGGAAGAAGGGATCACCCTTCGAAACACATCAGCTTCACCCTGAGAGTCTCCCCTCTCGATGGGATTCGCACGTGTCTCCTACTCCAGTGTTCCTATTTTGGATTTGATATGCCTTGTATATTGCCACTTTTGTGAGTATATATCTTAATCCGATAAAATCACTCTTTTTTAACTGAGGTAATGCGCAAGGTTGGTGCGCTTTTGTTGTTGTTCTCCATTGGAGCCCTCTCATCACCTCAGCCTCCGGTCAGGTACGTGACAGGCAGAGAACGCTGTTGGGAGAATGCAGAGAAATAGAGAACAACCCACATTGGATGAATTATGTAGAATGTGCTAAGCAATTCTGCCTTGAATGGCTGCTAGTGGCTGGATGCAAATTTACGGTGATATACTTGTAAACCCACATATAGCATACAGATGTATTCCCTGAACATAGAACATCTGCTTTTGGGGATCAAGTCGGTATGCTAAACACCAGGGGCGGACTGACAACTCATGGGGCCCCCGGGCAATAGGGGATCATGGGGCCCCTGTGTCCTTGCCCAAACTCAAAATAGCCTATGAAAAAGGTACCAGGGGCATCTCATGGGGCCACCTACTGACCCCGGGCCCTCGGGCAGCGCCCGAGTTTCCAAATGGTCAGTCCGCCCCTGCTAAACACGGGTTTACACTAGTACTGGTGTATATCCAGGAATGGCCATTCATGTCTATGGGTAGCTGTACACAGCACCTGGGCTTCCTGTGCTCAGAAATATGCCTGTATTTGCATTGGACATGACCGCATATGTCCGTGTGCATGAGGTCTTTGGAAACAAGGACTGTGGCATGTGTTCCAGTGTAGACTCAATTCTTAAGCCCCTCCCACTCAGCGCAGTTCGCCAGATCTGTTATTCACTGTGACACGTATAACGCTTACCTTATTGTTCCCCATTGGGTGCTTAAGGTTGACCCCACTCCCAAGAGTTATCTACATTCCTGAATGATAGCATTGACATCTTTGCAGACTTCCTCACACCAAGGATGGAATTATGTCATTAGAACAGGGTTGTTCCACAGCATTCACACCTCCCATCCTGTTCCTGGACAATCACCATCTGGCTTGACACAATCCATGGTGACTGGATACAGTGTCAGTATCTACCTGTGTAGACATAAATGTTGGGGAATCTTCCTGATGCTCATTAAAAGTAAGCCTGGAGCAGGGGCGGACTGACCATTTGAGAACTCGGGCACTGCCCGAGGGCCCAGAGTCAGTAGGAAGCCACATGAGATGCCCCTGGTACCTTTCATAGGCTTTTTTGGGTGTGGTTTGAGTGTGGGCAAGGACACAGGGGCCCCATGATCCCCTATTGCCTGGGGGCCCCATGTGTTGTCAGTCTGCCGCTGGTCTGGAGACGTTACGAAAATGTCTTCAACATTACTGATTAAGTCCAGTTGAAAGTGACCAACTACTACTAGATATACCATGACCTGGATGAATGAGATCCTTGATGTGTTTCTTGGATAGGCTGGTGCCTGAATTCTAAATGCATGGTTCATCGCAAAATTAATGTAGCAGGTCAGTTGTCCATGTCAGGGGCGGACTGACCATCTGGAAACTCGGCACTGCCCGAGGGCTCGGGGTCAGTAGGGAGCCACATGAGATGCCCCTGGTACCTTTCATAGGCTTTTTTGGGTGTTTTTTGAGTGTGGGCTAGGACACAGGGGCCCCATGATCCCCTATTGCCCGGGGGGCCTGCGTTGTCAGTCTGCCCCTGGCCTGGAGATGTTACGAAATGTCTTCAACATTACTGATTAAGTCCAGTTGAAAGTGACCAACTGCTACTAGATATACCATGACCTGGATGAATGAGATCCTTGATGTGTTTCTTGGATTGGCTGGTGTCTGAATTCTAAATGCATGGTTCATCGCAAAAACAATGTAGCAGGTCAGTTGTCCATGTCAGGGGCGGACTGATCATTTGGAAACTCGGGCACTGCCAGAGGGCTCGGGGTCAGTAGGGGGCCCCATGAGATGCCCCTGGTACCTTTTTCATAGGCTTTTTTGAGTTTGGGCAAGGAGAAAGGGGCCCCATGATCCCCTATTGCCTGGGGGCCCCATGAGTTGTCAGTCCGTCCCTGAGGACGTGGCACTAGTGTATCAAAAATTGGAAGTGACCTGACACCCGAGTGCACTCCATATTTTCTTTTTTGTTTAGTCCAATTACTATGAAAGTTCGTCCATCAACGGATAAAAGGTTGTGCAGCTTTTACACCAGGCTGGGGAAGCCCGAAATAAACTTCAATGAAGAACAAAAACAAAAGCGCAATAACTTTGCGCATCGCCTAAGTAAAAAAGAGTGGTTTTATTGAATTAAGAGCTCAGGGCTCTGAGGAAGAAGGGATCGCCCTTCGAAACACGTCAACTTCACCCTGAGAGTCTCCACTCTTGATGGGATTTGCATGTGTCTCCTACTCCAGTGTTCCGATTTTGGAT